TTTCAAACGTAATATAACTCGGTTACAATGTTTAGAGTTCTTTTGAATTCAGTTGTGCTAGAGGAGCATATCATTAACACGTAGTTTTGATGGTATGTCTCGTTCTCTTCCAACTTCTCCAGCTTTTGTAAGCCATCTAGGACAATTAAAGTCTTGAATCTACTATTGAGCCGGTATCTAAGTGCTAAGCAAATGTATTCAGTCATCAATAAATAATTTAAGCAGATATAGATTCAACTGGATAACTCTATGTTTATGTGGTAGGACATCGGTTTAAGTAACTATAATGGTGATGCGCTTGGTTACCAAGAAAATAAAAAGGAAGAAGATGAAACAAGAACGAGAGGTACAGAATGAGGTTTTACTGAATGTAAAAAGCTTTGGAGAGTGAAAAGCTTGGTGTTTAGAAAATGGGGTCCTATAAGAAAAAAGGAGTGACTGAAACTGTTTAGCACTTAATAAACAAAAGCAACACTTTGCTTCTTAAAAATCACCACATTTCAAAGATTCAAGGTCTTTTACTAATTTAATCAATTCATCAATTTTCCAGTGATAAATCCAATCCGTCTAACTCACCAGCACAAATAAATTAGCCGGAAGAGCCCTAGACGTATGTTGCAATGTATCGTCTGAGATCGTTGGTGATCTAAACCTGGATAGAGATATTCAAAAATGTTTGCGTTACGGTACTTCAGAACCACTCACTTCAACGCAATCTTGGGAAATGGTAGTCGTCCAGCAGTTAACGCCATCACCACAACTACTATTGAATAGCTTTCGAAAGGCATGAGGTTGAAAGTTTTCTGAAAACGGGATTTGATTTTGAACGTAAGCGCTAAAAGTAGGAGGTTGGAAAAAAGTGCGCGGTGCTAGCTCGGCAGATATGACGATAAAAGAAGCAGAATTTTGGACTTCTCAAATTAACCACAAAGAAACGAATGTGAAACACAAGAAAGCAAGCTAATCAGCAGCTATAACTCTTTGCAAATATGGACAGAGAACAGTTACGGAAAGGACGTTAGTTAATTCAAAATTTTCAAGAAAATTAATATTTTGCAGCTTCAACGTTAATCCCCGAATTCACATTTTACATCTACGATGCGCTTTTTTAACGCCTTTTTCTGGAAATTGTGCTGCGTCTTTTATTAGAAGCATGAGAAATGGATTTTTTAATGTGTATTGGCATATTGCCCTGTTTCTCGTCTGCAAAGCAATTTTTAAGGGGTTTAACACATCGCCGATTAATACTATTTCCCGAAAACAAGTTCGAGCAAAAAGATTTGGTGGACGCCCTAGAATTTATGGAATACAAGACTAGTTCTCTAAAGTACTGCCACACGTGGAGTAAGATACAGTGATGGACCAAAATCTAGGATTGTGCCTCAAAAAAAAGGCACCTATCACTTCACCAACGATACAATAAAAAATGACTTTATACACTCTCCACTCAAGAGCTGCTATGACTTCTTCTTCCGCACGGTGAAAGTTGGTGGAAACAAATCTCAAACTTCATTCAGCGCACCATTTTTTTAGCAAAAAAATAGAAATCCTTTTTCTGCATCTATCTCATCATGTTTTCGCATGGCACATGCCAGACAGAGATCTACCAATAGGATTTTGTAAGAGTATTTCAATAAGATACTTATTTCGTTATCTGCAAATCCTCCATATGCTTACATGAGCCCTAACATACTTATTTCGTTATCTTGCAAATCCTCCATATGCTTACATGAGCCCTTTTTTTCTCTTTGCGCTGTGTACATTTCTTCGACACAAACAAACGTAAACTTCATTTATCCTCCTCATTAGCAGCAAAAAATTTCGTTCTCTCTCCATCATCACCTCTTTCCTAGGCGAGTTCTTACCCTATGAATAAAGTTAGAACAGCCAGTTGCTAGCAAAACAAAGTCAACAAATACAGTCCACGTGTTTTTTACATAACCGATTTTTAAATCTAAAGCATTTTCAAGTCCCTGTTGCGTATCAAGAAAAATGTGTAAACATATTTAGTCTAGCTCACAAATCCGAGAAAATATCAAGATCCCTTATGTCCAAACTTATTCACTGACATGAAAAGTTCTAAACATCTACGCTGATCCAATTCATCTACTGAAATAAGAAAATGTTCAGCTGATTATAAATAGACAAGTAGGCTTTTGCAGTTGTACAACAAAGTCCAGTTTACAATTAATTAAAAATTGACTATTTTGAGACAATTACGTCTAACAACAACTGTATTTGAATGAATAGCCTCTGGAACTTAGTCACTTCTACTGTTTTTTGTTC